GATTATGGAGAAGGTTTGGGCGGAGGGCTCCGAAGACAGCACGAACAACCTTATGGCTGACATTAGGACCTTCAACAATGACACTGACCGCACGAAACATACTCAATATGTCATAGAGCCTGAACTCTGAAGCCTATCGTGTGAATATCGTTGAGTTCAAGCCTTGGAGATACCTTGGGGAAACCCAGATCGGCACAAAAGGCCCGACATCTACGCAGATGCTGGGCTGTGGATTCTTACGATGACGAGATCCTGTCTATAGAGGAGTGAAAATTCCAGGTCAAGGGATTTCGAGATCGACTGGCCTCTTAACCCTGCACGTGCATCGTGGCCCCTCAGAGAGTCCGGAACCGCTCAATCCCTGTAAGGAACCCGAAAACCCTTTCAAAAAACCGTTAAGGTAGGTTGCTCACTTGAGGATTTTTGTAATCTCGGCTGTGAGTCGGGATGGTAGTGGCGTAAGCAAGCGTTTGCATTGTGGCGAGGCCTCGTTTTAAAACATGCACGGATAGGGTTTAGGGTTCAGGGGACAGATGCACATGTACTGCTTAACTCCGGGAGGGCTTCTTCCTGCCTCGTTTGAAGCCTTTTGATCTCATCCAGGATCTGGAAGAAGTTGTCACCGGAATTCCTCCTAGGAGGCTTCTGAACTTCTGGCTGTGAGCCATGCCTGACTGTGTAACTAGCTGTTGTACTGCAGCAACAGTCTATAATAGGGCTACTATTGAGGTCCTACTATATCTATATTATGAATGTTATCCAACTGTTACTGGGTGGGGGCAGTACCCGAAGCGAGGACATGGTGAACAGAAGCCAGGCTAGACGGATTCAGGCAACAAAGCTGTCTGCTACTTGTAATCGAAATTTACATGCTTATTCCTTACCGGGTTTAAGTACCCATAAAAATGTAAAATGTTACCCAACTATGACAAAGTCTGGAGGCTCCGATGAACACTCGATACTGCTGCGATTCTCTGGGTTGGGTCTTGCGGTTGATGATACAAATCCTGCACCCATTTTTTAGGAGCACACCATAATTCCCATAGTCTGGCAATGCAGGATTTATATCATCAACCCTGAACCCCAACACCCTTTAGATCCCTTAAAAGGAAGCCCTTAAAGGTACCCTAAAAGGAAGCCCTTAAAGGTACCCTAAAAGGAAGCCCTTAAAGGTACCCTTAAAGGAAGCCCTTAAAGGTACCCTTATAAATCCCTTTTGAGGGGGCTCGGGGTAGGGAGTTGAATTGACCCCAAGATCCTCAGGGGCCTATGGACATCCGACCCCCAGAGAGTCCCCTAAACCCCTTAACTAAGGGACTTGTAAGGGCCCCTTTAAGGGCTCCTAGAAGGGATCTCTAGGGTTTACGTTTCAGGGGCTTCAATACCCCTAAATTAAGGAGTATGCCTTAAACTGGAAGCGCCGGTCATACGACGAGTTAAACTATATTTCTTCAGTAAGGGGTATTAGAATCCCTGAACCCTAAACCCTATAGATCCCTTACAGGATCCCTTAAAGGAGCCCTACGTATTCCTTAAGTCTCTGGGGACTTATACCGACCCCCCCCTGACGAAGTGTGCTGTTCAGCCCATGCTCTCGGGCTTCGCTTCCGAAACCTTCAGGATCCGCGAAGCCTAGCTAGCATAGGGGCCTTAATAATGATGACAGGGTTCCTTTAAAAGGGTCCCATAAGGGTTACTCTAAGGACTACTATAAGGGTACCATGATATAGGGGCCTTCATAAATAGAATAAAGTTCATTTAAAGGGTTCCTTGAAAAGGGTACTAGAAGGATTACCATAAGGGCACGATGATATAGGGGCCTTAACAGTTAGACTAGGGTTTTGAGGGCCCGTTATACTATTACTATAATCGGGAACCCCCAAAATAGTATCGGTAATCATTTAAGGCCCCATGTTCCAAAGGAACCATCGAAATACCCGCAGGACCTGAATTTTGATAACCACCTTTATAAAGCCGTTATAGTATCCATTATAGATCCCTTTAAGGAACCCCTACTACTCACAAACCTGAGGCCTCACGAGCTTAAGCCTGAAAACACTCCGAACTACAACTGGGTGGTTGTCAGTTTTTTTAGATTAGGGTCCCTTTCTGGATAACTAGTAGGTGCCGTAATATAATAGGGACCCAAAAAGGACCATAATTTTGACAACCGCCCCCAAGTCTCAGAAGCCACACAACGAATGGAAAAGCTCCTGCCCTTCACCTGCAACAAAAAGGGAAGTTCGTCCTTGGTTTTGAGAAACTCCGCTCTGGAGGAGCCAGAGAATTCCCCTTGGAGTTGGACCGCGAAGGGGGGCTCCTGTGATGCCGAGATTAAGATGCATGCACATGTGTCACAGGCAAAAAATACATGAATGCATACAAAGACATATCTGCAGATATAAATATATATATATATATATATATATACATACATACATTCACATGTATATACATACATTCATGTATGTACATATATATATATGTACATATATATATATATATCGAAATATATACATTCATGTGTATATACATATACATATAGTCAGCCTCAGCAGCATCCTCCGACACCCTCAGCGTGAGTCACTGCGTCCAGTACTCCGCACTTGAAGCAGTCAGGTCGTGCCCCGAGGGGTCGTCTCCCAGAGTTCCCGTCTAGTGATGACGACGACTACTACTACTACTACTACTACTACTACTACTACTACTACTACTACTGCTACCACTTCTGCTACTCCTGCTGCTGCTGCTACTACTACTCCTGCCTCTACTCCTCCTTCTACTATACTCCTCCTCCTACTCCTCCTGCTGCTCCTCCTGCTCCTGCTCCCACTTCCACTCCCGCTTCCCCTGCTCCTGCTCCTGCTCGTGCGCTCCTGCTACTGCTGCTGCTGCTCCTGCTCCTCCTGGTGCTCCTCCTCTTCCTCCTGCATGCTCCTCGCGCTGCTCCTGCTCCTCCTGCTCCTCCTGCTCCTCCTGCTCCTCCTGCTCCTCCCGCTCCTTCTGCTCCTCCTGCTGCTCCTGCTCCTGCTGCTCTTTCTGCTCCTCTGCTCCTCCTCCTCCTGCTGCTGCTAGGAGTCGCTGTAACTGTAACTCTGCCACTGAAGCGTGTGCCACCAGGTCCTGTAACTCTCCGACTGTGCCGGAAGGACAGGCGGCTCAGTTGCTGGTGAAGCCGGTGAGGACGCCGCGTCAGACCCGTCCTCAGGCGTTTCGGGGCTTCAGCCAGACTACCTGCACTTTCGAACACGAGCACAGAATCCCAGCCTCCTAGCTATAAACCCTGCACCTCGAAAGCCCAGATCTCAAATAAACCGAAGCGAAGACCCTGAACCCTGCGCCCTTTAAAACCTCACCCCTGCTCTACCTCAGGCTTCGAAGTGAGGCCATGTCTGTTACTTGCAACACAGTAGGAGCAATACAACCATTGTGACTATTACCAGTACTAGCACTGGTGCTAGTACTAGTAGTAGTAGTAGTAGTAGTAGTAGTAGTAGTAGTAGTAGTAGTAGTAGTAGTAGTGGTAGTAGTAGTAGTAGTAGTAGTAGTAGTAGTAGTAGTAGTTGCTGTTGTTGTAGAAGTACTAGTAGTAGTAGTAGTAGTAGTAGTCGTCGTCGTCGTCGTCGTGGTTGCAGTCGTAGTCGTAGCCGTAGTCGTAGTCGTAGTCGTAGTCGTAGTCGTAGTCGTAGTAGTAGTCGTAGTAGTAGTAGTAGTAGTAGTACTAGTACTAGTACTAGTACTAGTACTAGTACTAGTACTAGTACTAGTACTAGTACTAGTACTAGTACTAGTACTACCGCACGTGTCGGAATCCGTCGCGCGTTTTTTGTGCAAATACGCGTTTCGCCACAGCGGGAGCGCATTTTAAGACCGAAAATGAGGTCTAAGAAAAAATGCTGTTTTCAGAGCTAGTTTTCTGGAAACCATGGCAGGCGTGGCACTTTACGAGATTCGGCGTGTCACTTTTTTGGGTCTTCGTTTTCGCGTGGTTGAAAGGCCGAAAACACCGCGCACAACGAGGTTTTCGTGATGTCAACACTGAAAAATGCGATTTTGCCGTTTACCCCAAAGTTTGTGTTTTTTCTTGTACATGGCTTCGAAGATGAGTAAGCGATGAGTAAGCAATGAATATTTCAACCATTCGCGAAAGCTGCATCGGATCATCCTATCGCAGGGAATTGCATCGGATCAACTTCGTGAGATTTGAGAGATTCATCGGAGTTGAGCAGACGACACGATAGATTCGAATCAGGATGAAAACATGGGGAATTCGTATTCAGTGCAGAGGATAGGTTTTTTTCACGAAAAGTGCATCGGATCATCTTCGTGAGATGTGCCTATCGCAGGGAATTGCATCAGATCAACTTCGTGAGATTTGAGGGATTCATCGGAGTTGAGCAGAAGACAAGATAGATTGGAATCAGGATGAAAACATGGGGAATTCGTATTCAGTGCAGAGGATAGGTTTTTTTCGCGAAAAGTGCATCGGATCATCTTCGTGAGATGCGCCTATCGCAGGGAATTGCATCGGATCAACTTCGTGAGATTTGAGAGATTCATCGGAGTTTTGAGCAGAAGACAAGATAGATTGGAATCAGGATGAAAACATGGGGAATTCGTATTCAGTGCAGAGGATAGGTATTTTTTTTCGCGGGAAGTGCATCGGATCAACTTCGTGAGATTTGAGAGATTCATCGGAGTTGAGCAGAAGACACGATAGATTGGAATCAGGATGAAAACATGGGGAGTTCGTATTCATTGTAGAGGATAGGTGATTTTTTTCGCGAAAAGTGCATCGGATCATCTTCGTGAGATGTGCCTATCGCAAGGGATTGCATCGGATCAACTTCGTCAGATTGGAAGGACTGAGCGGGTTCATTAGAGTCAACATATAGGTACGGTTATATTCACATTACGTAGGGCGTAGGGCTGGGAGAAGGCGTAGCAAGCATCCACAGAAACTGCAGTTTTGGACTCCACTGCTCGGTGAGCGGCACTCTTCACAGGCTGGCCAAGTACTGCCCTGTGGCCCAAAACAAGTCGCCGTCGCATTCCCATCGCCACTGTACACTGCGCGCGTACTTCCAGAGAAGGGGATTCGGCACTCCTTTGGAGTGAGTGCGCAAGGTGCTTGGAATGCCTTTCTTCAAAATGTTCCAGAAGGAATCTACGGACCCCGTGTGAATGGGGATCAAGCTTCGTCCGGGCACCCGCTTCTTCACGCAAAAGACTCCCCCGGAGTGGTTGGACTGCCTCAACAGAACACCCCGAGATCTGGCCAGCCTGTGCGGCAGGGCTTTTGAGTGAGAAGAACATAGTCAAGAGTGGAAGCTTGCTGCTAAGAGTGAAAACGAAAAGGTCAACCCTAAAGTTAATCCAGGGGCCTTGGGTAACACGTGGCGCCGTCACTGATGAGGAGTGTCTTCCTGCCCCTCTTGTCTTTGGCGGCGACCCCTGCTTGGACACACGGATGGCATCGATCAAAGGATTCGGGTGGCGGCTTGCCTCCGCAACGGGATTCCACCAAAGGGAGCTGCTAGAGGTTGACGACCCGGTCGCTGCATGCGCGTGTCGGCCGCTGGTAGAGCGCGAAGTACTGCAAGTAGACATTGCGCGATGGTCGCTGCAAGCTTCGCCAGTGGCGTATGGAAGTACCATCTGCCTCCACATCACCTGCTGAGAAATAGCAGAGTGTGACAGGGCTTGAGCTTGTGGGAAGAGGATGCAGAAGGTAAAGTGGCAGAACTGAGAATGAGTATGTGCAGTGAAGATGTTGGCAAATCCTGCCTGTGACCTGCCGAAGCTGCTGCTTGTGATCCATGCAACGGCACTCCGCAGCCCGAAGAGCTTTCACTAGCTTCTTCAAGGCGGAAGCGGGGGAGCCACTGCATCCGAGGAGCCTTCCGATCTCGTCCACACTGAGCACGCGCCCCTGCTGGAAGTAGATCTGCATAGCCTTGTAGACGGTTGGCAAGGGCATTTGCAGCACAGGCAAGAAGCTGAAGGCCAAGGAGTCGAACCACTTATGGCATTGTGGTGTGGGCATCTCAAGTAGGCCCGCCCGTTGCCACGCTTGAGACTAGCTTTGAACGGCACTTGCTGCAAGTGCTCGCCACAGCTGCAGCGACCAGGCTTCCACAACCACTTGGCTTTCCTCAAGGCTTGAAGCGCCGCTCTGACCTCCTTGCACGTGAACTTCGGAGTGCTCCTCCGGCTTCAGGGTTTAGGATCATAGGGCGTAGGGCTTCAGGCTTTACGGTAAAGCATGCAGGGATTTAGGGTTCATAAGGTTTAGGGTTACAGGAGTTGAGGGTGTAGGGGTTAGGAGTTGTAAGCGGGGTTCTAAGTCGGAGAAGTTAGAGGATAACTCAATTTTAAAGTCTTAGAGACTGATCCTCTTCGTCGCCCTGGGTTTGCGGCGCAGCTCCCGGAGCCGAGCTTGAGCTTTACACAACTTCGAGGACACCTTGGACCTGGAGTCGTCTTTCCGGGTCCACTGTGCACTGAAACGACGTCCCGAGGATCTCTTCAGAGACTTCTGCTGCTTCTTGTCTACGTTCAAGCGCAGAGGCTTCTCTTGAGCGAGGTGAGTCTCGAGCTTTCGGGGGTTCGTGTACTGCACTGCTGCCTTCAGCAATGCAGCGGCCAGAGTCGGGCAACTCGTCCGATGATGCCCAGTCTTGCCACAGTGCCCACACTTGTGGGTAGAACTAGAGCTATGGTCTACGGAGCGTTTGCGCTTGACAGCGGGCATGGCATCTAAGCGGCTAGTCCGCCAACAAGGCTCCAGCCACTCAAAACTGCATGTGACAACGGAGATGCAAGAAGCTGCTCGTGCAAGGCCGAAGCATGCAGTGCTGGTCAGCAACATCATCATGAGAATCATCATCGTCATCATCATTACGGCTGATGGACAAAATCCTGCAGTACCCAGTATAAGGAAGATACCATAATTCCCATAGTTTAAAGTCCTTAGGGTCATGCAGGATTTTGTCCATCATTATCATGAGAGGAGCAGCAGCATCATCGCCAGCAGTAGCAGCAGCATGAGCAGCAGCATCTTCATGAGCGTCACCAGCAGCATCATCGTGAGAAACAGAGCTTCGGCAGACCGAGTTTGTTCAAGACTAGGGGCAGCGCAAAGTCCAGGGCTGCTTGTGGCGCTACTCCTGAGCTACAGTTGGGGAGTTTTCTAGAAGTCGCCCATGTCGGCTCACCCAGCCATCCGCCATAAGCGCGTAATCCGTACACAGAGCGCGCAAAGGCTCGAAAAGTTGAGACAGGCAGGCCTGCGCTAGCATGGGAGTGAAAGACTCGCTACTCAGTGTTTCTGCCGCACGCCAGAGCACTCGACTGAGCGCGGAGACCTACAGACGGAAATCCAGGGAACCCTCAAAAGAACTATCCTAAACCCGACAGAAGCAGAAAGCCCCAACGTTGCGGATACAACATGCCTGGGCCAAGGCAGCTTCGACGGGGTACGCTTGCTCCACCTTGTAGAGGAAACTCGCTGGCATTCCATGATGATGACATGCAGGCCACAAGAGTGTCGTCACGTCGGCGTCGGTGAGAAGTGGCCGAGAAAAGTCCAGAGACAGGAGGTTTTTAAGAACTTCACCGGCAAGCACGACCACCTCTACGTCGTCGGTGGAGCAGAATCTCATGAGTCCGTACAACTGCATGGAGCAGCCGCACAAGCACAAACCCTAAGACCTACAACACAACAAAGCCTGAACAAAAGCAAAACCAAGCTAAAACCCCGCCTGCAAGAGAACCTGGACAGGTCCTTGCAGCAGAGCAGAGAACACTTCATCCTGGACGCCGCTCCGAAAGCGACGACAGAGATGCAAGACGGCCGCCCTCGAAGTGTCCATGCAACACGCCCGGCGTACGTACTAGGACTATGGATGCTCCAGTTCGGGGACATGCTTCAGCCAGCATAGCAGCAAGCAGCAAGGGCTACAAGGGATGTTGTGGAAGGGCATTAGGGCTCCAAGGGCGTAAGGGGTACAAGGGACCAAGGGTTACAAGCGAAAGACCCAGAAGGGAGTAAAAACTACAAGGGAGTACGGGCTAAAATGGAGTAAGGGCTCTGAGGGAGTAGGGACTACACGAGAGGTAAGGGGTAGAAGGGACTGAGGCCTACGAGGGAGTAAGGGCTACGGAGTAAGGGCTACAAGGGAATAAGGGCTACAAGGGAGTAAGGGCCATACGGGAGCAGGGCAGCCAGGCGCATGGGACTGTCCAGGTGCACCAAGGGTGACAGCACAGCACACATGAAAGCAATCTGTTGTTTTGTGTTCGCCTGCCAAGGCGAAGTGACACTAGCCTCCTCTGCGGGACCGCAGAAGGTGGAAACGGGCGTCAGACATGTAGTCTTGCAAGTCTTTGCTGGCACAGCGAATCCTGTCAAGCGGAAAGGCCGTGTGGAACCAACATTGTCTTCGACCGTGCAAAAACCTCCAAAAGGACGAGCAGACCAAGCGCACGTCATCCTTGAACCTTGCTTGGCTCTAGTGAACAGAAAGCAACGTGAGCAGGGTCAGGCTCTATTACACGACGTGGGGTCTTCCACCTGCAGCAAAACCAGCAAGAAAGCGAGCTTGAATACATAAACGAGAAGAGACCGTATCGCAATCAAGCCACTGGCCGGATCGCATGATGTAAGGGCACAACGCATACTGGCAGCGCGGGCAGCGGCCCCATTTCGTTGCTCTCGCAAACTTCTGATGCGGAGGCGGTGGAACTTGCTGCTGAGGCTGTTCGGCTTGCACAGCTTCGACGGGATCTGCGGTAGGAGCAGCATCGAAGTCCTCGATGGGGTCCTGGGAAGCGTGTGGGGTTTAGGGTTTATAAGGTTTAGGGTTTAGGGAACCACGAGACGGTTGCCAGTTTGGGGTCTCGCCTCTGCAAGGAAGTCGCTGCTACGTGTGTCCGTGGACTGCGCCTTCTCGGAGGGGCCGGGTGGCACATGGCTTGCGGAGGCCGGCAGCGGGAACCGCGGCGAATCCAGCTCCTCGCGTCGGGCGGGTGCCACATCCATATCGCTTGCGGAGCCAGCCATCGAGGCAGACTCTCCGTCTGATGCCACATCCACGTCGCTTGCGGAGCCCGGCATCGAAGCAGACTCTCCGTCTGAACATTCCTCAGAACACACACGGGGTTGAGGGGTGTAGGGCTTTGGGATTGAGGGGTTTCAGGCCTCGATCGGGCTTAGGGAAGAACAGGGAGGACAACCGACAACCACGAGGCATAGTCGGTTGCCAGGGAATCGAAATCCAGCTCATCACCAAATATGTCCACCTGTGCGGGGCCGTGGTCGGGAGTCGCAAGGTCCTCCGGCGAAGCAGAGACGTGGTGGGGAGTCTCCATTTCCTCCACCGAAGCCGAAGCGCCCACGACGCCACGCAGGCAACCAAAGCAGAGGTACCAGTCAGATTCTGCTGTTGGCCGTGTCCACTGTGAAGGGTCTCCGAAGCGTCGAGCCACCCAGATGTTGTAGCGCCTCGCCGCATCCAAGCAGGAAGCGGGACAAAGAGGAGCCGTGAGAAGTCGCATTGCCAGCGAAGCTAGAGAAGGCCCAAAGGCAACCAACTGACCCCACGGCATCCTTCCTACAACTGCGCAGACAGTTTGAAGAATCTTAAGTCACCCAAGAAAAGAAAGAACTTCAAACAACATGCGGCACGTGGCTGTCTCCTGCACGAGACTCCTGCAACATGATGGCCAGCGTGGCAACTTCTGCCTGGCCTGGAAGCTGGCACATCACCTGAGGCCCTGAGGCAGGGTTTCGCATCCAGGACCGAACTTCTTCAAGAAAAGACTGACTTCGGCACAAAGCAGTCGCAAAGCTTAAGCCCGAGTCGCGAAAAGGGCGTCTTCCACATCGCTGTAAGAGAAGCTGACGAAAGTGCCGAGCTCCGGTGGCAGGCGAATGCCTCCCTGGCGGAGAACCAACAAAGCCGAAAGGCTCACTGCCAACCACGGAGACATGGCTGACTCACTCCCATATGGAGCCAGCACAACTGCGGAGAGGCGGCTGAAGAATTGTGGCCCACGCTCACGCAGCAGGGACGTTCTTAACCCCCCCCCCACCCCACCCCCCTCCCGAAGACAAGTCCGAATCCTCAGAAATGCAGGAAAACGCACGACAGTTATCGATCCGTTAGCTAGTACTAGTACTAGTACTAGTACTGGTAGTAGTAGTAGTAGTAGTAGTAGTAGTAGTAGTAGTAGTAGTAGTAGTAGTAGTAGTAGTAGTAGTAGTACTAGTAGTAGTAGTAGTAGTAGTAGTAGTAGTAGTAGTAGTAGTAGTAGTACTAGTAGTAGTAGTAGTAGTAGTAGTAGTAGTAGTAGTAGTACTAGTACTTGTACTAGTACTAGTAGTAGTAGTAGTAGCAGTCGTCGTTGTCGTAGTAGTAGTCGTCGTCGTAGCAGTAGTACTAGTACTAGTACTAGTCCTGGTACTAGTAGTAGTCGTAGTAGTAGTAGTAGTCGTCGTAGTAGTAGTGGTGGTAAAGAGCAGAAGCCCTGAGCAACCAGGGACAACAGCAGGAGAAGCACAGCAGAGGATTCGACTGCGATGCACGCCAGTCATGTGGGTGGTTGTCAAAATTAGGGTCCCTTTTGGGGTAGCCTCTATAATAAGGACCCAAAAAGGGACCCTAATTTTGACAACCACCCATGTCCTGAATCCCAACAGCACATCTTCTGTGCTCTTGCTAAGCGTTATATAATGTCTCACACACGGTTTCTTGCCCTTTATTGGGTTCTCATAGGGAAGTTCACTCAATCCATTCCGCCACAGCCTGGCAAGGTAACGCCACAAAAACCGTAAGCTCAGAGTGGTAGGGCTGTTGAACTGCTAAGTCTTCTTTCACTGTTTGGGGTCGTCGCCGGCATTCAAGAAGCCGGGTACCTGATTTTGGCAACTGAACATTACAAAAGCCCTTGTAACAGCTCAAACCCTTACGAGGCCGTTGAAAAATGGTAACTTCTGAAAAGATGCTTCGTACGTGGTTCTGGATATTCAGCAGCGTAGGACCA